CTTAGAGCAGATCCTCGAATCAAATATCACGTTTGTCGCGAGGGGCATGAATGAATTCCCTGAATGAAAGAGTCAAACTGCAGTTAAAGTCCAACATTTAATAATCTGGCAAAAAATTCAACTACAGATGTCCATGTAGGTTAAACACAATGACTGTAAAAAATACACCATCACTTTCTCGTGTGTGTATTTTGACTGAAACTCGCGCGTGCCCAAATAGACACTCCCACACCATCCCACTTTAGTTCCTCCGACACTCCCCCCTAAACAGAGCTGGACACGCCCGCTTTTCTGACTTTTTCCAAAGTAGAGGTGTGAAAACACCCTGCTGAAACGAGGGGGTTTCATGGCCCTTTAAGTGTCTTTTATTCATTTAATCATTATTACTTATTCTTATTTTGGATAAATTTGTTAGTTTTTGTTAATCCAAAACTTACTCTGCAACCTGGTGTTTATCTAATTTATTGTGTCACAGTGGTGGGCTGTTCCACAAAACATGTAGGATAAAACAATTGCTTCACATTACAAAGGGGCAAAAAACAAAGCTTCCTTCCCAAATCATTCCCTTATCTGCCTTAAATGCTGAGGGAATTGAGCTCTCTGCAAACATGCGTTGACAGGACCATCTGAACTTGAACATAAGGGCTCTGCTTTACCTCAGCTCAGCAGATAACAACAATATTCCCTTCTGACACTCGAATATAGTACAGCCAGGTGCAGATAAGCCTACGCCAACTATCTGAGCTCTGTGCCAACAGTGGGTCGCTGAAAGGCTCCACGCACTTCGACTGCAGAAGCGGAGAACAATACACATAGCAATTATAGAATTATATGTAAGTGGAGCCTGCGCTACTACTACAAAGCGGATGGGGATAAAACAAGGTAAAATGGGGTAAAAATGCAGTTCGGAGGTCTGAAATGTAAACAGAAGAAGGTACTCGGTATGATTTATTGCTAAAGAAATTATAGGGGTTTTACTCAAGCGGCAATCTCTCGCTCTCCATCGTTAAGCTAACATGGAAATAACTGAAATTGCAATTCATCGAAATTCCGCTAGGCCTGTCTCCAAAAAAGAGCACATTTCTATTGAGCCCAATGTTAAAACGGCCAACTTTACAGCAGAAAAAAAGATGTTTACAGCCTGGTACAAAAAACTATTTTGGTGTAAATAGCTAATATTACCTTTCATGACAACTGAGAAGGGGGGATTTTTTTTTTAGATCTCATCCGTTTCATTTTTATTAAGTTATATTAAGTCTGCATAATTAATGGCGATGCCAAGATGAAACAGGTGACTTATTTCATGTATTATGCCAATGTCCAGAAGTCCAACATTTTTGGAGAAAGGTGCATGAATACCTTGTAAAGATATTGCAGACCAAGTATGACCTTTGCCCAAGCTTATATATACTTGGTTACCCATGTCTCTTATGCCACACGAATAAAACTGAATCACAGTGGATACAGAGTTGTATCATGCTAGGCAGACGGGTGATTGTTAAAACTGGAAATCCTCCAGTAGACCTCCAATCTTTGAGTGGATCTCAGAGTTAGGACAAGTTGCAGCCTATGAAAAACTCCCCTATAGTTTACATGGAAGAATTGAAATTTATTTTGATAAATGGGAAAAATTTCTAAATTTCTGCGACCAACAATCTTAGTAAACATGTAACAAGACAAAATAAAAATTAAGGTTAAGATATTAGCAACCCTCCCTTTCCTTTTTTTTTCTCTTCTTCCTTGGTTTACTTTTGCAACTGATATGGTGTGATTTATTTATTGTATTTATTTATGCTGGATATTGGATATTCATCTGCATTATTTGAAAGAGGAAAAAATCAATAAAAAGTTCAAATCGTAAAAAAAAAAAAAGTCTGCATAATTAGGGGTGTGGCCACTTGAGTGACAGCTAGATCTCGCTGGTTGCCATTACATCACCTCAGCTGATTCCGGCTGATTAGCTGCTGAACTTGGCATATTCGCTTGTTAAGTGTGATGTCACGCGAAGCGGCTTCTGGGTCCATGCACTCTATCAAAACTGAATAAGGAGACTTATCAAATGGTAAAAATAAACATTTACAAAGCAATGTATTATTTTCGAAAATCACAATCGCTATATATATATATATATATATATATATATATGTCGCTGGGTTGTTGGTTCGAACCTCGGCTCAGTTAGCATTTCAGAGTGGAGTTTGCATGTTTTCCCTGTCTTCGCGTGGGTTTCCTCTGGGTGCTCCTGTTTCCCCCACAGTCCAAAGACATGCGGTACAGGTGAATTGGGTAGGCTAAATTGTCCGTAGTGTATTAGTGTGTGTGTGAATGTGTGTGTGGATGTTTCCCAGAGACGGGTTGCGGCTGGAAGGGCATCCGCTGTGTAAAAACATGCTGGATAAGTTGGCGGTTCATTCCGCTGTGGCGACCCCGGATTAATAAAGGGATTAAGCCGACAAGAAAATGAATGAATGAAACGTATATTTTCTCCATTAAAAGGAGTGGCAGCTTGGACCCGGAAACAGTATTCCATACGTCACGACTTGACAAGCAGATATATTGTATTTTTGTTTTGTTTTATGTGGTTTTACACAGTCAGATGCCTTTTGGAATAATTTCTTACGTCTATTAGATATATAATGGCATGCTGTGTGCACTTAATTGTGGTCACAAACCATTCAAGTGGTCTTCATTTTCCAGGTGAGTGAAATTCTAATATACTTTTTGCCATTTATCGTATGTATGCAGAGGATTGATCTGCTCTCAGCCTGAAGTTGGGAAAAGACCGCTGTACCAGGACTGGGCCGCCTGCTAGTGCTCTGAGGTGGGGAGGGGTCGATGGTATCACCCGCAGCTTGTTGAGAAGAGTAGAGAATTTTTGTTTCAGAACCTGTCTGGTTTGCCCAGTTAGCGTGGTTCGTTTGGCATATGTGAACAGGGCAATCGCGCTCTGTTCCGCACCAAAGTAATCGCTCCGAGACGGCCTGAGTGAGGTGGTCTCGGCTCGATTGAAACGAACTCTGGAGCGGTTCGATTGCAGTGAGAAAGCGATCCGATCCAAGCGCGGTTATATCACAGTGTTTTATGGATATGTAATAGGCATACGGCTATATGAAGAGAGAATTATGAGTATGGCGGGAAGTTTTGCGAGTCTCCGGATGCCCGCAAACCAGTGATGATCTCCTGGTAATCTCGCGTCTCCCTCCCGGTCCTCAAATAGTCATCGTCGCGCACCCTTCTTACCCCTCCCCACCACATCTCTCCTTGCGCGCGGACCTTGTCAATCACCACCAAACCACCACCTCTCAGATGAGCGGGACGCTGCAAAATAAACCCTGACACTGACCAATGCGAGGAGAGTTTACTCACACGTGACTTGTTTTAGCTCTTTTGGTCCGATTAGAAACTTTGCAGTGTGAAAGCGAACCGCTCCAAGAGCAAAGAGCAACAATGTAACATTTGTAATCTCTGTTTTGGAACAACTGAATCGATTCACAGGTATGAAAGGACCCTCAGTCTTTTAGCAAGCAACAGCAAAGTACAGTCTCAGAGTTGTTTGCTAAAATAAGTTAGTATCTATTCAGTTACTTTTTTTTAACTAACACAAACTGCCAGGGCCGGAGTGAGACTCCTTTTCAGCCCTGGAGTTTCAAGCCTCAGATTGGCCCACCTCAGTTCACGACTATTAAAATAAGGTCATTTCCAATTCAGTTTCTATTTAAACTATCACGTCTTTTTTGAGAAAACAGCTGCTTTAGAACTTCAAATGTTCAACAACCCTAACAGTATTTTATGTCTTAACAATAAAAATGAAAAAAAAAAAATGACTCAGACAAGGATTAAACCCGGGTCGGTGGTGTCGAAACCTAACGTGCTAACCACTCTACCACAACAGTAACTTGATAATCAACCTGCAGGCTAGTCTGCAGGCTTCTAATAAGAAGACTGTGGTCAAGTAAATAAATACATTAATTTAAAAAGTGTGACTGCTGTAAGCAACAGATTCTGGAGCTAGGGACACCGGCCCTCGCGGCCAAAAAACGGACCGGCCCACCGGGAATACTCCCGGTCCTCCCGATTATCCAATCCGGGCCTGCACACTGCATTTTAGGAGTAAGAAGCTAAAGCTACAAAATTAAACCGCAAATCAAATCAATCCCAATATCTGGCAAAAAAATTGGACAACGATTAGATATTTTCCCCAAATCACACAGCCCTATTTCAAAACACTTCACAAGACCTTTATTACTATTTAACAATTCGGTCACACTTTACAATAAGGTTCATTAGTTAATGTTAATTAATGCATTTACTAACATGAACAAACAATGAAGAATATATTTACTGCATTATTTATTCATGTTAATAAATGTTTGTTAATGAAAATACAGTTGTTCATTGTTAGTTCATGTTAACTCATGGTGCATTAACTAATGTTAACAAGCATGGACTTGTATGTTAATAATGCATTAGTAAATGTTCAATTATCAGTAATAAATGCTGTACAAGTGTTGTTCATGATTAGTTCATGTTAGTAAATGCATTAACTAATGAACCTTATTGTAAAGTGTTACCACCAATTCTAAAATCTCCAACAATAATCCGGTAATAAAATCACCCATAATGGACGACTGCAGTTTCATTGGTGATCCACGGGTTCAATACTTCCATACAAATGCAAATGAGGATTTTTAGCATCCAGGCTGAAGACACTACAAGGTGCTTGGCAGAGACTCCAATTTTTTTCCTGTTAACTCGAATTAATTGCTTCATGAATGAGTTCGTCTGCACAACACGTATCCCTCTCGCCGCGGTTCGAAAAATACACGCCATTTCCAAAGGCAGGAGTCTAACCTATTTTACGCATGTCTAGAGCACAATGAGAATGAAAACCAGCAATGATTTCACGCTCGAGCGATGAATGTGGCTTATATTGACTTCTAGAAGTGTGTTTTTTTCTTTTTTGGACATCCTTCGACACTATGAATGGAGAGCGGTCATACCGTGCAAAGGTCTTTGTACTGCATCTTCTGGAACTTGGTGTCTGCATTGCCGGCGCAGAGTTCCACGTATCCCAGCACCACCTGGAAGACGGTGTTGTGGATGGCCTGGGTGAAGTGCATGTGCAGCTGATCCATCGCCGTCTGTGGAGACAGAGGAAAAAGGGGAATCAGACTGTATGTTATAAAGAAATATGCATATTAAATCCTTGCACTCCTTTATTGAATTGGCAAAATCAATATACAGTTGAAGTCAGAATTATTAGCCCAACTTGTATATCTTTCAACCCCGGCTCATTGTGGAAACGTAGCCCCGCGGACGTTTCTGCGGACCGCGATTTACGTCCCGGGAGGTACGTATTCGAGCGGTTTTTGTTTTCGCTGATCTGCGAGAGGCCGCTGTGCACGCTTTTTCGCGTCTCGAGCGCCTCTCGGGAGTGCGCACCGTTCGCACCCGCGCCGTTCTCGCTCGAAAAGCCGCCGGATCGGCCGACTCAGCCGCCCTCTTCTTTCTCCTCCTCCTCCTCCTTCCCTAAACCCGAGCAACGGTTCGCAAAAGCCGTCCAGAGAAAAAAAAAAAAAGCAAAAGCCCTCGTCTTCGATTTCAATCGCGTTTTCGGATCCCGCCACGTTCTCGCCCTTATTTTCCGGATTTCGGACTTGATCCTGGTCGTCGTCCCCGCGGCTGGCTCCTCCTCCTCTGGTGCCTCCGCTCCGCCGACGCAACGTTGTGAGCTAAGCGGACAAACTGGTTGCATCGGGAAAGCCCTCCTCTCGGAGGCGAGCCTTTGGCCGGCGAGCGCGAAGAGGAGAGGCGGAGCGGCGCCACACCGCCCCGCAGCATTCGCTCGAAAAAAACTAAACGCGGCCTTACGTACCTCCGGCCACGTAAATCGCGGTCTCCAGAAATGTCCGCTACGTTTCCAGAATGAGCTTGGGTTGATATCTTTCCTCAATTTTGTTTAAAGTCTACCTCAGAATTTAAAAAAAAAGCTCTATGATGGGCGTGGAGCACTGCGAGCAGAGGGAGGAGTGGGTGTAGCCAGCTGAGCAGGAGAAAAAAGACGCGAGTGAACAACTGTTAGTCGGCTCACAAAATAAGACACAAACAGTGATTGTAAGGTTTACAAGGGTAAAATGCAAATAAATAAACAGTAATTAATTTAATTCCCTGCTACACGGTAATCCTAATTTCATATACACATAAGCACAATTTGTTATATCATTATAAAGATAACCATGCTTATATAAACACTATAAATGAGGGTCTGAATGCAGACACAGTGGATAGCAGTGCAGCAGGTCTCTTTCCCTGTCTATTTCAACCATTAGCCTTGCCAGTAATCAGGAGATTTTAAACATAGGCGAATATAGAAGCACAGATAGGTGATGTGTCTGAATGGTAACAAACTCAACTGATAAAAGACAAAGTTTGCCATTCTCCAATTCTCATACAGTTCTCCCGACAAAATTGCTTGCTGCAAACCAACAGCTTTGCTGTATCGGCCTTGACAGCATAGCAGGGAATAACAAGGAACAAACATGCGAAAGCCTTGCCTTTGGAAAACATGTGCTCTCATGAATAATTAAGTAGGGAGAGTCTTCTCATATGATAGGAAAACTCAGCTATGAAAAATAATGCAAAACCGACGCATCATCACTACACTAGCAGATTCGTGCTACAGTAGGTGAGTTCAATGTGACCATTACCGCCGCACGATCTACCGCCGCCGCTTTAAAGGAAAAAGAACATGTTTTTTAGGTATGACCGCAGTTTGCAACTATGCCGCCAGGTGGCACAAAGGGACGGGATGCCAACGGACAGAAATAGACTATATATTAGCTGTAAATACTCTGCTACTTGTAAATAAAGAGAAACAATGAAACAAGGCATTATAAGTCCATTAATCATTAAAAAGATGACTAGGCTACATTATTTAAAGGAATGTGAAGTGCTTAAGTCCGCTATATGCTTCAGACCCAAAAAACTAGTTGCTATGAGATTGTGTTGGTTTGTTTAATAAAATAATAATAATTTAGCCTAAATAAAATTAACATTAACTGAAAGAAGGATATTTCTGGTCAGTTTGAGTTATCCAGTTTTCCCTCACAATTAAAGCTTACCGGTGCTAACGTCATCTTACTTGATGCTCAACAACCACAAATCTGTTAAAGTCTCTAAAAAGTACTCCAGTGTGTCTGAACCCTTTAATGGAAAATATTTTTTCAACACATTTCTAAACATAATAGATTTAATAACTAATTTATAATCACTGTCTTTGTCATGTTGATAGTACATAATATTTAACTACATATTTTACAAGATACTAGTATTCAGCTTAAAGTGCAATTTGAAGGCTTAAGTAGGTTAATTAGATTAACTTGGTACGGCAGTAGTTTGTTCTGTAGACAACTGAAAAAAATATTGGGGTTGATAATATTGACCCTAAAAGTTTTTTTTTTGTTTGTTTTTTTATTAAAAATGCTTTTATTCTAGCCAAAATAAAACAAATAAGACTTTCTCCAGAAGAAAAAATATTATACTGTAGTAAATTTCTCTGTTAATAATTTTGACTTTTTAACTGTTTTTTTAAATAAACATTTGTCAGAAAAAAAGCAAGGATAGATCATCCAAGAATTTATATTCTGTCATCACTTACAAATTTAATGATCATTTTTTTAATCTTGTTTTCAATAAATTTTTTATTAAATGTTTTTACAAGATCATTTAACTTTACATGTAAATACATAATGCATAAGTACTGACTTTCAAATCTTAGCTTAGTAAAGTTTAAGTACAATACTTTTTTTTCCAGCATTTTAATGTTACAAACAATCCATTTCAAATCAACACTTTGTGAACTTTCTACTCATTTAAAAAAAAAAAAAATGCACAAAAATTCTTTTAGTGATATGTGTGTTTCTTTCTTCTGTTGGACACAAAATAAGATATTTTGAAAGCTGTGGATAGGTGGTGAATGATGAAATAAATAAATAAAATCTATGGAAGTCAATGGGTGCCAGCAGCTATAGCATTCTTCCAAACATCTTCTTTTAAGTGTAACAGATAGAAACTCATAGAGGTTTAAAACCACATGAGGGAGAGTAAATGATGAGATCATTTTCATATTTAGAGCATGACTTTAAGAAAACACAACCATTTCAGCTGTCATAATACGAAATGTTCTATAAGCATATCAGCATATTCAAATGACTTATGAAGGATCATGTGATGCTAAAGACAGAAAAATTTAAATTCAGTTTTAAATTACAGGAATAATCACATTTTAAACGTTACAATGTTTTTTAAATGATTTAAACATCTAAAATGTTAAAACGTTTACAAAAAAATTTAATAATCCTCCATATGACTTTTTTGTAGGGGTTTTCACCTTTATTATCTTATCTTTTACAGACAGTAAAGTGTGGGGAGCAGAGACAGGGGAAGGATCGGCAAAGGACCTCGAGCCGGGAATCAAACTCGGGTCGCCGTGAGGACCTTGGTGCTATGTGTCGACGCACTAACCACTAGGCTACTGGCGTCGACATCCTCCATATGAATTTTTCGCTCTTAAATAAAATAAGTAAATGCAGCATTAATGATAATAACATACATATAAAATAAAATAAAACAAAGTACAGACTAAAAGAAAAATAAAATGCAAAATAACATTTAAAAAAGAAATAAATATAATATATACTCAGGGGAAAAAATATAAAAATGCTCTTTGTTCCATGGATGTTCTGATATATTTTACTGGAAAACTATAAGCTTATTATTTTAGAAAATCTTGCCGAAGGAGGTCTGTTTGAAGGTAAAACTTCTGGATAACACTGGTCCCAGCTCACACTCTCAGAGGAGATGAATCATAACTGAACTACATGCCGAAGCTAAATGTGCTCCCAAAGGGGAAAAAGGAACAGCTTTGCAACAACTTAATTATTCTTCTGCCCTCTCTCGCTTTCACTGCTTTCCTTAAGCCATGAGCGAATCCATCTTTCAGCTTTGGTCAAACTCATTCAGGACGTCTATCAGGATATTTGCGTCGTCCAGCGGGTCAGTGTGTTCAAACACAGACAGGTGAGTATTCCAATATTCATTCATTCATTTTCCTTTGGGCCTAGTCTCTATTTCAGAGTTCGCCACAGTGGAATGAACCGCCAACTATTCCAGCATAGTTGGCGGAAACACCCATACACACTGATGCACACACACTCATACACTACAGCCAATTTAGTTCATCCAGTTGACCTACTGTATAGCACATGTCACTGTTGGGGAAACCGGAGCACCCGGAGGAAACTCACGCCAACACAAGGAGAACATGCAAACTCCACATAGAAATACGAACTGGCCCAGCCGGGACTCGAACGTGAAACCTTCTTGCTATCAGGCGACAGTGCTAAGCCCCTGTGCCACCCACATTCCAAAATATCTAAAGGAAAATTAAATAGCTGACAGAAATAATCAACTAAAAAACCAAACTAAAAGCATCAATAAGTAATAAAATATCGAAACAACACAACTGTGACGGAAATATATGAAATGTGCTGAGAAAAACGAGCAATTACATCAATTAGCCAGATAAAAAAAAAAACAGGAAAAACAAAAAGAGGAGATGAAAAGATGAAGAATTAGCCGTGCTGTCATTAGGCTAATTGCAGAGTTCATGGAAAACAGGCAGAAAGAACAGCACCTCTGCAGACAGTTTGAAGGCATTGACGTAAATGCTGAAGCGAGGTTTGCATTTGATTTGGTTAAAAACTTTGAAGCGTCAGAGTCAGCAAACGTCTCGCTAAAAGCATGTTGGAACTTCAAGGTCGGATCTATGATGAAATATCCGCCAGTGACGTCTTTTAGAGTCATCAAATACGCATAGCTGTGAGAAAATGCTTGTTTGGAGGGTGGGGGGGGGCAAAGTCCATTTAAGTGAGATGCTGCTAGAGTACATGTAGAAGCAGGTAGAGTGAGAACAAAATAATTTACAAAACAGTCAAAATAGTTATCAAAGCTGAGGATATGTTGCCCTGCAGTCAACTGAAAAACAAGATTCACTGAATTTACTATATTTATTTATGGCAGTCGTTCTCACTTTTTACACCAAGTACCACCTCAGAAAATATATCGTCACCTTAGAATTATA